TTTTATCAAAAAATTCATCGCGAAATCGAGAAATTTGAGAGAATTTTTAGCCACGCTGCCGGCGGCCATTATGGTATTCTTAATCGATATTCGCGTTCCAGCCTCTCTGTGTGTTTCCAGGTCGCGGTTACGCGCGGTAATGCTTTACATTCCTCGATGTTGGTAGCATCGTTTGTTTCGGAAGCAAGACGTGCACTCGCCTCGTTCGGTAACACGCTGCTCGTTTCTAGGCTCGATTAGCAGCTTGAAATAGATTCGCGTTGCTGAGTTTAACTTTTAATCGATTTCGTCGCAAACGAGAGTAGTGTTTGGAGGTTATCGGTGCTCTTCGCGTTACCATTTCTTCGTTTGGCAATTTTTCCATCGCTGTAAAAATCGATTTTTCGTTAGTTTTTTGCTGTGACGTACGTTGATTCGTCTTTTAACGGTATATTAGAAGCATATCAGAATAGTCGCGTCATTCATACGCTGTACGTGCTGTACTACGAAGTTTACTAGCGTGGGAGCGAATGAAAACATTTTGAACAAACCGTGTTATCTTGTGGCGAGAGGGTCACAAAGTAGCCAAGTGTATATTGGATTCGCTGAAAATACACAAAACGATAATGGTCCGAGCCATACCGTCTAAATTGCAAGTAGCGTGTCTATGTACTTGTAGAACCATAGAAAGAGAAGGAGAGCAGGTATGGAAGGGGTTCGAACTTCCCGTCTGTTCTTCTGCATGTTAGTTCTGCTGTTCATGAACGAGCACATGTCGATTCTTCGCGCCATGGTCGCCGATATTTCGTTCGTCTTCTTCTCGTGCCAGACATATTGCGGTTACGTTTTAGAAAGCAAATTCACGACCCTCGATGAACGCAAACTCTGTCCGTAACGTGCTCGGCGGGTTACCCTAGCAAATGAATTCCATAGATACACGAAGAATCGTTAAAAAAGTACTTCTTGAGAGTTTGTCACGTGACCTTGAATGACGTCACCGAGGCCAATAGGAAACCTTCCAAACGGCGTTATAACCCGAGCTACCGGAGCAAGAGTTCGTGTGACGTCATCTGCGCAGTAGAGCCACGCGCATCCTGTGTCCAACGACGTGACCGAGGTAGAATCAATTGTAAATTTGCAATAAAAGTCTTTCTCCCCTTGGGTTTTCCATCGTCGCGTTAATGATAATTTTATCGATATATCGTTGAAAGTGTACCTCTAATTTATGTTCGTTAACGTGGACACGATGAAGACGTTGATACGTTCCCATCTCAACGATTTCCCAGTTTTCGCTTTCGGGCTTCATTTACATTTTTCACCTATTTCCTACTCTGTTCGATGATGTTCTTGATTAGAGAGGAACATCGATGATGATTCTGAAAGCGACCGAGGAAGAATTTATCGCGTGCGACGTGTGATGGAACGGGAGAAATATATACGCTTTAAAGCGGAGGCTAGCGGCAACGTCGCAAACCGTTTGTCGGACTCAGCCGCCGAGTCACCGACTTTTCGAGGCCACGGCACGTTGTGTGCCCGTGTGCTTAAATTCATTCCGATTACGAGCGCGATCTATCGGTGCTGGGAAATATGAGCTCAAGGACGAGCTTTTCCCGCACGCTTGTGTCCGAAACCCGGCCGGTAACGCAGAGATTTACTTTCCCTTCTCGGTTCGTGTTCCACTTACGACTAACCTTGCGACTCTGAATGGCAGCGTTGCGGACTTCACGCTTTTTCTTTTTTAACCGTTAACTGTATTTGTACACCGTTGTGAGATTTATTATTGAACGATTCTTTTTTTTTCTTTTCCTTTTTTTTTTT